CAACTACCCTCTATTCCCAGACAGTATGAATGGAACATTGAAGTAGGTCCCCCAACTCTAGCTGAAGTTTAAAAGGCTATAGTTAATCTGAAACGAGGAAGGGGATCTGGTTCAGATGGATTGGCCCCAGAGGTCTTTAAAGATGGTGGTCTAGTTTTAGCGATTAGGTTGACTAATATTTTAGCTAAAATCTGGGAATTAGACGTCATCCCATCTAACTGGTCACAATCACTTATCGTCCCAATATTTAAGAAAGAGTCAAAATTACTGATTGTCCCAATATATAAGAAGGGGTCACAATCATCCTGTGATAACCATAGAGAGATCAGTTTCACTAGCGTAGCATCTAAAATACTGGCATCAATAATTATCGGACGCCTAACTCAGACTCGTGAACTGCAAACACGTGAAAATCAGGCTGGCTTCAGACCTGGTCGTGGCTGCATCGACCACATATCCACCATTCGTCAGGTTCTAGAACACAGGCATACTTATCGGCGTCCGACAATGGTAGTCTTCCTTGACTTAAAAGCAGCGTTTGACTCGGTTGACCGAGAGGTTCTGTGGCAGTGTCTGTCATTGAAAGGCGTACCTCAGAAGTACATAAACCTTGTGAAAGCTCTTTACTCGAACACTACTAGTCGAGTGAGAGCTTATGGCGAACTGTCATCTGCTTTCGCAATCTCAAGTGGCGTCCACCAAGGCTGTCCACTTTCTCCATTTTTGTTTAACTTCATCATAGATCTACTGATGGAAATAACGCTCTCATCGACTGAATTCTCCGGCATTGATCTCCTACCAGGAGGTCCACTTATCGACTTAGAATACGCAGATAACATAGTCCTGTTTGGTGAAGACGCTGATGAAATGCAGAGTCTTTTGGTAGCACTGAGCAACAATGCCAGAATGTTTGGGATGCGCTTCTCTCCCTCCAAATGCAAGTTGTTGCTTCAGGACTGGTCTGCGTCAACACCTGAACTAAGGATAGAGAGTGAAGTAATCGAACGCGTCGACAACTTTACTTATCTCGGAAGTCTGATCAGCCCTGATGGGTTGGTGTCTGACGAAATCTCAGCACGGATTCGAAAAACTCGTTTGGCTTTTGCCAACTTACGTCATCTATGGCGAAGGCGAGATATCCGTCTATCAATTAAGGGACGAGTATACTGCGCGGCAGTTCGTTCCGTTCTATTATACGGCTGCGAAACGTGTCCATTAAGAGTAGAAGATACTCGTAAGTTACTAGTATTTGACCACAGGTGTCTTAGAAATATTGCGGGTATCTGCTGGGATCACCGGGTAAGTAATAGTGAGGTTAGACACAGGGTATTAGGGAATGATGGTAAATCAGTTGATGAGGTTATGAACCTTCATCGACTGAGATGGTTGAGCCACGTGCTGCGTATGCCTGAACACCGATTACCACGACGCACAATGCTAACCGGTGTTAGGGATAATTGGAAGAAAGTTAGGGGCGGCCAAACCAAAACGTGGCATCAGTGCTTGAAGTCACTAACTTTTGGTCTGAGCCATGTTGGTAGATGCAGACTGCCATGTTGGGGTCCGCGTGACTATCGTAACTAATGGTTGGAGACTCTTGGTGACATGGCTCAGAATCGATCACAATGGCGTAGGTGTATACACTCTCTGTCTTCCCTTAAACCAAAAGAATAAAATCGCTTCATATCTTTCTTTGTAGGAACTAATTCTTTCTTCTTGTACTATCTCCTTATACACAATCTTTCTTCTATATATTACCACCACTGAATTAACTACTTCTATGAATCCGGTGTTCATCTTGTTGTGCTAATGCGGTATGGCAACTTGGACCGATGTATATACGTGCCTGGTCCTACGTTGCAGCTGACTGGCTGTTTACTGAATTGTAACAGGACTAATAACAACCCTTACTTACTTACTTACGCCTGTTACTCCTCATGAAGGAGCATAGGCCGCTCACCAGCATTCTCCATCCAACCCTGTCCTGGGCAATCCTTTCAAGCTCTTTCCAGTTCTTATTCATCTTTTTCATATCTGCTTCTATTTCCCGACGTAATGTGTTCTTTGGCTTTCCTCTTTTCCTCTTCCCTTCAGGATTCCAAGTTAGCGCTTGTCTCGTAATGCATTTCGATGATTTCCTCAATGTATGTCCTATCCATTTCCATCGTCTTTTCCTAATTTTCTCTTCCGCTGGAAGCTGGTTGGTTCTCTCCCACAAAAGGCTGTTGCTGATGGTATCCGGCCAATGGATGTTGAGTATCATGCGTAGACAGCTATTGATAAATACTTGTACCTTCTTGATGATGGTTGTTGTAGTTCTCCAAGTTTCAGCTCCGTACAGTAGAACTGCCTTGACGTTGGTATTGAAGATTCTGACTTTGATATTGGTTGAAAGTTGTTTTGAGTTCCATATGTTCTTCAGTTGAAGGAATGCCGCTCTAGCTTTGCCAATCCTCGCCTTGACGTCTGCATCTGAACCTCCTTGTTTATCGACGATGCTTCCCAGGTATGTGAAGGATTCTACATCTTCCAGAGTTTCGCCATCAAGAGTAATTGGACTACTGTTCTCAGTGTTGTATTTGAAGACTTTGGTTTTCCCTTTGTGTATGTTGAGGCCTACTGATGCAGAGACTGCTGCTATGTTGGCTGTCTTTGTCTGCATTTGTTCGTGTGTATGCGATAGGAGGGCTAGGTCATCTGTGAAGTCCAAATCGTCTAATTGGTTCTGAGCTGTCCATTGTATGCCGTGTTTTCCCTCAGATGTCGAGGTCTTCATAATCCAGTCGACCACCAGAAGAAAGAGGAAGGGAGAGAGTAGACAGCCTTGTCTTACTCCGGTCCTTACTTGGAATGCGTCTGTCAGCTGTCCTCCATGCACTACTTTGTATTGTAGTCCGTCGTATGAGTTCCGGATAATGTTGACAATCTTCTCAGGAACTCCGTAGTGTCGAAGAATTTTCCATAACCTTCTCCTATCTACACTGTCAAATGCTTTCTCATAATCAATGAAGTTGATGTAGAGTGACGAGTTCCACTCAATTGATTGTTCGACGATGATCCGTAGTGTCGCAATCTGGTCTGTGCACGACCGGTCCTTACGGAATCCAGCTTGTTGATCTCGAAGTTGAGCGTCAACTGCGTCTTTCATCCTGTTCAGTAACACTCTGTTGAAGACTTTACCCGGTATTGACAGTAGTGTAATGCCTCTGTAGTTTTCACACTTGCTCAGATCTCCTTTCTTTGGAATCTTGATGAGGTGTCCTTCTTTCCAATCCATCGGCACTTGTTCCTCCTCCCAAATCTTCTTGAATAGAAGATGAAGCATGCTTGTAGTTACTTCGATGTCTGACTTCAACGCTTCAGCTGGTATATTGTCAGGTCCTGCTGCTTTCCCGCCCTTGATGTGTCTGATGGCCATTCTGATTTCTTCCGTCGTTGGTGGATTGACATTTATAGGAAGATCTGTGTGTGCTGCTTCGATGTCCGGTGGATTCATTGGAGCCGGCCTGTTCAGGAGTTCCTCGAAGTACTCTGCCCATCTGTTGCGCTGTTGCTGAATCTCAGTGATCGGTCTTCCTTCTTTGTCTTTGACTGGTCTCTCTGGTTTACTGTATTTCCCTGAAAGCTTCTTCGTCGTATCGTAAAGCTGTCTCATATTTCCTTCTCTTGCAGCTTTTTCCGCCGTCGTTGCTAGTTCTTCCACGTATTTTTGCTTATCAGCTCTAATGTTCTTCTTCACTTTTTTGTTTGCTTCTATGTACTCTGCTTGTGCTTGGACTTTCTCTGCTCTTGTTCGACTGTTGTTAATTGCTGTCTTCTTATTCTTTCTTTCTTTGATCCTGTCCAGTGTTTCTGTAGAGATCCATTCCTTGTGATGATGCTTCTTGGGGCCCAGAACCTCTTGACACGTTGAAGTTAATGTTTCTTTGATACCTTTCCAGCTATCCTCCATAGTAGTTTCTTCTTCCTTCAGTAGATCGTGTAAGGCTTGGAACCTGTTGTTGAGAGCTATCTTGAATTCATTGAGTTTGTCAGTATCTCGAAGGAAGGCTGTATTGAACCTTTGTAGAGCTGTTTGTCCAGTTGTCCAGTTCTTCTTTAGCTTCAGTTTCAATTTGGCCACAACCAGGTGATGATCTGAAGCTATGTCCGCTCCTCTCCTGGTTTTCACATCTTCCATTGTCCTTCGTAACTTTTTATTGATGCAAATATGATCTATCTGGTTCTCTGTGGTGTGGTCCGGTGAGATCCACGTAGCTTTGTGTATACGTTTGTGTGGAAATGTTGTACCGCCTATGACCAATTTATTGAATGCACACAGATTTGCAAATCTTTCCCCGTTTTCGTTCCTCTCTCCCAGTCCATGTAGTCCCATGATGTCTTCATATCCGGTGTTTAATAACAACCCAGTATGATTTAATTTATTTAGTTTAATTGATAGTAAATCTGTCTATTTTTCTGCTCTTTGAACAAAGATTATTGTCAGCATAGTTATGGATACATAAATAAAGCAGTACAATATTTATTACATAGTTTTGAAGTGTTATTTTAAAATCATACGAGTTGCAATCATAGTAACAAATTTTTAGATTGTTGTTGTCAGTTGGGAACCTTTGTTCTGTCTGAAATAAAAATGGGACATTTTTCTAAAAAAGAAACTAAAAACGCTTTATACTGACATTTAGCTACCTTTAAAATTCCTAGTGATACAAATGTCGTGGATTTCATTGGATATATATATATATATATATATATATATATATATATATATATATATACCTCTGTTACTATTGTGCTGTAAATTGAAACAAATAATTTGATTGGTTTTTAATTACCACTGAGTCATGAATGCGTTCGTTTAGTTGTTGTTCTGTTTGTGTTTTAATTTTAAGAGACGGCAACAAGAATCTATTTTTTGTTTATTTACTCCTTTTTTCGTATTTATTTGTCCGAATTTTGTTATTGCTTTCCTTTCCTTTTTCCCTCTTTTATCCCGATAGATACTTCAACATTGAGTCTGCATATGACAGTAAATGCACAAAAACCACGAACTAAACGCAATACAACAGTTAGACAACGTCTTGCTAAACGTTTAGGTATTTAATTCATTTTAGTAAAGCATGGATGTTATTCATTTACACATTGTCTATTTGTGTGCTTATCATTTACAAGTTTACTAATATTATTCAATACTATCAGTGGTAACCCTGATTTTTTTACTTTTTTCTACCTACATATATAAAGTGAATTATTTGGACCCTATAAATTTGTAAAAATTATTTCCTCTCTACTAACAATATCTATATACATGTACACATATACACACTCAAGTTAGCAATTCTTATCCGAATGTAGTATAATATGATCGTGATCCAAGGAATTTTTCAAATAACTTCAGTTTTACTATTGTTATTACTAGCTGTAGTAGCGGTATTACTATTAACAAGTGCAGCATACTTATCATGCATACAATGACCTTTTTAACCATACTTCAAATAGTTCTGAGTTATTTTTATCCTTAATTGTTCACTAATAATGCTATTCAATTTGTGTCCTATACTTTTGTCTCCTTATTTTAGTTATATTTTAATTTTGAGAAATGTAAACTTCAATTGCATTTATGTATAATCATGCTGATTATGAAATAGTTAAATAACTGACTGTTTCCCTCCAACCTCACTCATTTCTTTGTGTAATTTCATTTATTCCACCTTATCATTATTCACATATCTCATCCTCATTTTCTATAGATTTCCAGGACCATTCATGGGATATGTTATTAGGTATATTCTCTTGTTTATCACGTTTGCTTTTTAGTGATTTTCTTGGTTACTTGTTCACTGATATGTGTGTGTATTTTGTAATACTACGTCATTTACTTACTTTGTTATCGTTTTTTTGTTACTACTGTTGTTTTTTTTTTTTACTTTACGTACATGTTTTTATAAATATTTGTTTATTTGCATACAAATGGAACTAATAATGTTTTCCCAGTTTTCATTCATTGTTTACCTAGCTCATTATTTTTGAAATGTTCATTGGTCTTTGTTAAAAAAGTATTTTTATCATTAGGTTTTATGTAAATTGTTTTTGGTTGAAATAAATATTGTTATATTAATATATCATGAACATGACCGTCTTTCGTGTTTTCGGCGATCGGTTGGGTAAATTAATCTATGTTATGCAATGTTGTTCCTTAAGTACTCATTAGTAGGGTTCTTCAGTTTGACATCCGTCTGATGAAGATATTTGTGTCCGTATTTCACCATTCTCAGTGACATCCAGGCTAAGTATCCACCGGCGAAATTACCATAGAAGTCGTATCTCGAAATTTCAGCGTGAATTAGACCAGGTACAAATATGTGCCAAGTCAAGTTGTCTCTTTTCAGATCTACCGATCGGGAGAAAAAGATCAAATTAGAAAAATATAAACTGCATTGGCATTTATAACAATAGGATTCAAGATTGTAAGGTATTGAAGACTTAGAGAAAGATACGGAGTGATTTGGTACTCATCACTCTGACTTGTCTGCAACCATATCAACTTAAGCCCTAGTTATTAAATGCATTGACATATCTCAACTCAATAATAATTCCTATGAAAACTAATTTTACGTCTGACTAGTATAATATATTAATAAATTATCTAAGTTTCAGTCCATCCGTTATCGGAGGGGAATATGTGTTTCGTTGTCTGAATTAATATGAGGTGGTCGAGCGATGCTTAATCACGGAAACAAAATTAAGTTCTATGTAGTAGTAACCAAAATTGATGAATATCAGTAGGGAGGACAGTTGGTTGAAAAAAGTTTTCCCAGTCTATAAATCATCTCATTCTTAAAATAGAGTACAAAATAAACGAGAATTGAAATAAGGTGTTTGATATGGACAGCCAATCAGAAGTGACCCAAAGGACAATCGCGTTTCATTGGCTAGAAAATGGATCAATTTCCTCACTCAAATAGTCAGTTGGGGAGAGGGGTTAGTGCATAGCACACCATATATCAGTATCAGATTTTGGACACCACACGTCACAACAACATTGCCTATCGGGACGCAAGCTTATTTGAAATTCACTGAACATTCAACGGATATGAGACAGAATTCTTGACGGGAGGTGTTCAGCGATTCCAGTATCCAAACACTGGTCACGAATGTGATTGAGTTGTTGCACTACGTTGCAGACTAATAGCAGTTGGTATAGTGCCACTGGAGACCGACCTAGTGTTTGCTATAGTGAAGGGCTTATCGTGAGAACTAAATTTTTTGGGTCCGATCCTTCGTGGGGTTACGTGGTACTCACTGCTGAAAAGGGCGAAATGGTTGTCCAGTGATACATAGATTTTAATGGCACTCCAAATGAGACCAATTTGCGATAAACAGGACCTATAAGTTAAACCACTCTGTAACCCCTTTAACTAAACTTTGAATGTTCCGATTTCTTATTTGTTATGGCATTGATGGACGAGAAGACTCAAAAGTTCTTGATTCCTCTCCTAATTTCCAGGTACTAAAAGAGAAGTATGTTTATTCTACATAACCTGCAAATTGATTAATTGTTCATTTACGAATGGTTCAGTAGTATATCACTAGCAGTGAACAATCGATAAGTTTTCATGTATGGACTTACATAATGGTACCCTTTTGGCCTCATTCCAGCAGTTAGTTATTATCTGACAGTTCTAAATTTTGCTGATCATTCTGTTTTATTCTCCTCGAGCTAAGGTTGGCATTTGAGATGGACCATTGATATAATAACATTTGTTTATCTGGTTTAATGCAGAGGCAATGTATGTTTCAGTATATCACATGACTAAATGACCAATTAGAAACACCGGCTTATATGACAAGGCCAATGACACATAAACTAGTACGAGCAGATTAGAATAAACTCTAAGATAGTACCTCCTCGCCTGACCCAGTCGGTCCAGTTCAGAACACCAATATCACTCTTCGCTATATGAATCATGTATTTCAGACACAGTTGGTTTATGTTTACATACAAACAAATCAGACTGCATCATACCATAAAATAGAAAATAATAATTATACAAGATCAGGCCAAAAGTTGCTGTGAGTGTGAGATATTGTAACTAATACATCGGGAATGACTTAAAAATAGTAAAGCGTTCTATTGGTCTGGTGTGTGTTACTGATGTCGATGGATAAAAGTAGTATGTATTATCAATAGGAAGTGAAATGTCTGGCGGCAGAAGGTTAGGAAGATCGAAGAAGAGAACGAAAACAAGGAATGATTAGTGTGGAGACGAAAGTCTGAAACGATTGGCTGATATTTGCGAAAGGAACATTGAGGTGTGAGACGATTGACTGATATTTTGCAAATTAAGTATTTACTGTATGGCTCTCAGATTTTACTAAGATGTTCTGTAATTTTGTGTTCAAATACATTCGATTGTCTTCACTTGTGTCCTCGTTCAATAGGTCAAATGGAAGCTTATAATAAAAGGAATATTAGTGTACATATAATATAGTTACTCAATAGTTATCCAATAAGAATATACTTAATAATAGTCCATAAATAATTTCTGGCAGTTACCACTCATACTCCATTAGGATTTAAGGATTTCGCTCATATCTAAAAGCTGAACTTCCTCTTTTCGTCAAGGATTTCTAGAAATCAACTAAAATCCTGTTGCATTTAAGTATAAATTCCGAGGGATTGAGTAGACTTACTTTTCCCAACATAAATTGTCATTATCATTTTCTTCAACTTCGTGTAATGTGATATTTTTTAAATTGAGTTTCCGATCATTAATTTGATCATTCTATATTTAAATTTGAGTAATTGGAAGCGCCTTTACATAATTTTTTTTACAAGATCGAAATTATTTATTTGAGAATTTTATAAATTTCTATTTACTATTTGATCCAAAGTTATGCACTCTTAAAAAGATCTACTCATTATTACATTTGATCTTATATTTACTCTTATAGCTATTTCATATTCTTGCAAATTTTATATACATATTCATAATAAGAAAAAATGTATATCTTATTATATTCATGTATTCCTTTCACTTTATCAGATGATCTTACATTAATGGTATTTTTGCTTTCATTTATTCAATAGTAACAATGAATAATGTTGAAGTGTTTATAAGATTTTGATTTCTGGATATTGTTGAACAACTGAAGAAAACACAATTTCATAGATAGAACTACTTATAGTCAGTGTACAATTTAATTTTTATGTTTATAAATTAAACCATACTTTGTACTATTTTTAAAATTCATATGCTAAAAGACATTTGTAACTCTGACTGGGACTACTGCCGGTCCCAAGCACGGATAAAGGAGGAGGGTTGGGCATGGGGTTAGAGACCTTATCCCGTAGAAAACTAACTCGCTAAAAAAACACTAACCAGAAAAAATTATTCAAACCATTTAAACTCTGCCCTGGGAGTCAGGAGGTCTTCGTTTAGAAGAATTATGACGCCTCATGATGAAAGCCGAGTTCCTTCGGATGTCACGAGGCCGATGCCCCTTCTGACAACCAGAGCAACCATTTATTTAGGTACATGGAATGCTCGCACAATGTGGGAGACTGGGAGAGTTTTCCAAATTGCTGCAGAAATGAGGAGATACAATTTAGAGGTGCTTGGGATCAGTGAAACACATTGGACGCGAGTTGAACAACAAAGACAAGCTTCATGGGAGCTGCTGTTATACTCCGGACATGAAGAAAAAAATGCCCCAGATACACAAGGAGTAGCATTGATGCTATCCAAACAAGCACAAAATGCACTCATAGGGTAGGAATCTCATGGACCAAGGATCATCAAAGCCTCCTTCAAAACAAAGAAAGGAGGTATTACTATGAACGTCATCCAATGCTGTGGGCCTTCCAACGACTACAATGAAGACGCTCAAGATCAATTCTACGATAGGCTGTAGTCAATCGTCGAGAAGTGCGTCAGAACCGACAAACGTAAATATGTCGAAGATTTGGCATTGACGGCGGAAAAGGCTGCGAGAGAAGGAAACATGAGACAACTGTATGACACAACAAAGAAACTCTCTGGAAATCACCGTAAACCAGAACAACCAGTGAAAATCAAGGAAGGCAAGGTAATCACCAGCATTGAAGAACAACGGAACAGGTGGGTAGAACACTTCAAAGCACTGTTGAATCGACCAGCCCCACTGAACCCACCCAACATCGAAGCAGCACTCACGGACCTCCCAATCGATGTTGGCCCACCAACAATTGAAGAAATCAGAATGACTATCAGACAAATCAAGAGTGGCAAAGCAGCAGGACTAGACAGCATTCCAGCAGAGGCACTGAAAGCAGATGTAGCGGTAACTGCAAGGATACTCCACATTTTCTTCAGCAAGATTTGGGATGAGGAACAGGTACCAAAAGACTGGAAAGAAGGACTTCTAGTCAAAATACCAAAGAAAGGTGGTCTCAGCAACTGTGATAACTACAGGGGAATCACTCTTCTCTCAATACCAGGAAAAGCCTTCAACAGGGTATTGTTAAACAGGATGAAGGACTCCGTAGATGCACAACTTCGCGACCAACAGGCAGGATTCCGTAAGGATAGATCGTGCACAGACCAAATCGCAACTCTACGGATCATTGTGGAACAATCAATTGAATGGAATTCATCACTCTATATCAACTTCATCGACTACGAAAAAGCATTTGATAGCGTGGACAGAACAACCCTATGGAAGCTTCTTCGACACTACCGCGTGCCTCAGAAGATAGTCAATATCATACGGAATTCCTATGATGGATTAAACTGCAAAATCGTGCATGGAGGACAGTTGACAAAGTCGTTCGAAGTAAAGACCGGTGTCAGGCAAGGTTGCTTACTCTCACCCTTTCTCTTTCTCCTGGTGATCGACTGGATCATGAAGACGTCAACATCTGAGGGGAAGCATGGGATACAGTGGACAGCTAGGATGCAATTGGATGATCTAGACTTCGCAGATGATCTAGCTCTTCTATCGCATACGCAACAACAAATGCAGGAGAAGACAACCAGTGTAGCTGCAGCCTCAGCAGCAATAGGTCTCAATATACACAAAGGGAAAAGCAAGATTCTTCGATACAACACAGCATGTAACAATCCAATCACAATTGACGGAGAAGCTCTGGAAGATGTAGAAACCTTTACATATTTGGGAAGCATCTGGAACTCAAAACTCAACACTTACTTTCGTAAAATTTATTGCATTACCAACTAAACTATTTGCAGAAATCTTACATTGTGTCGAATATAGCGATCACTCTTGACAAGATACACTACTACTTTATTAACTTAAATTTTATTAAAAATGAAGTCAAACAGAACATACCATAATAAAAATGGTTATCTTTGATAAGTTTTCCTTATTACTGTGAAACTGACCAGTTATTTATTGTAATTAATTAGTGTTCATCACTAACGGTAAATCATTCATGTCCCCAAAAAGTATAATAGCCGGTTGATTGTGGAAAATTACTTTATTAGGAGACATAGGTAAAGATGTAGCTTTCATAAAATAGTTTGCTTTCTCGCTGGTTAACGGTAAAATAGGTGATTTCTTTTTTTTCAAAATAATTTCATGCTGTCCAGGTCTCTTACCACTTGCATTATTTATATAGTTCATAACGTACTATACTAAGTTGTACAGTTATATAAACATTTTTCTTAACGTGCTTTTTATAGAAAATATTTGGATAAGTAATATCAAGATCAGACAAGAAGTCGATAAAAGAAACAGCAAACTGTACTTGAGTATTTTATTAAACATATTGACAATATATATTACCTAGTACTCACAATTGTATAGATACATTAATTTGTTTTTGAAATGATGATAATATAATTGGCAATAAGATCTCGATCTCGCTTTTCGTTTTCATCTAAGAACTATCAGTTTAGTTTTTCTACATTTCATCATGTTAGTGTTTTCACTGCTATTTAAACTTTGTTAGTATAGTGGCTTATGACGTGAATTTGTTTATGATTTAAAGATCGAATTAATAAGTATCTGATGAAATATATATTATTCCTATTGATTGAAAATATAAGCGAGGTGAAACTACAGAATTCATAAAGTACTATCAGGTTTTCATTCTTTTTAGCTGCCTGTATACATATTATAACCTTGAACATAATCATTAGTTTAACGACTTGTTATGTGCTTTTATTCTATAATCTGACTTATTTCCTAAGGTCAACCAACTTAAAATAATTACAACAAAAACATCATGTTTCAGTGGTTGAGATCGTAAGTTAATTGAAGCTAGGCCACCATGGAATATCATGTGTCAAAAAATGTTTGTCTGATAATTTATGAATTATTTTCAGACATTTATTATCATGTGAATTTTCACCAGTCACCTATAAATCATTATTCATATTAGTTACATTTACACTACATTATGGTTTTATTTAATTTTTTTTTAAAAAACGAAAAGTATGATTAATATTTGAATGAAGAATATTCTTTTCGATAAATTTTCTTTAGGTTCTGCACTATTATTTCTCTCATCCTATCTGACCCATATTTATTTCGGATCATGAATCTTAAATTTTCACTTAACATGTATGCTGATTCAAGTTAATATTCTATATGAGTTATGTCAACATTAACAAGTTTATTCTATTTTATTTAGCAATCCTAAATTCCTATGCTTTAACTTTAAACGATTCACTTTGTTCTTAACTTGACCATTTTTTGGATTATTAATTTGGATACATGAATTGTAGAACCTGAAAAGAATTTATCGAAAAGAATATTCTTTGTTCATATTATTATTAGTCTTTTAATATGATGGGGATCTTTAAACAATTAAAAGTATGATTATTTTATCTGAACAAATATAAATTAACTGATAAGTAGTATAATCAAATCACTGGAATTTTCATTATTTAAACAGATACATTATAGATAATATAAATGTGTCAGTAGATCTATTTGCTCTCAATATATATAGGTCTACAACGTCTTTTTTTAACATACTTTTAGGTGTAAATCTTCAATTACAAATAACCAATATCTTGTTGTAATCAGATATTTTGCAATCACTAATTATTATTCGTAAGAGAATATTAAATTAAAATTCGAAAGAAAAAAAGCCTTGGTTATACGGAAATTGAAACTCCTTTTATGTGTTCAAGAACAATTTGTCCTTACACTTAACCTATCCGACTGACTTATTATCTAGAGTAGTTATCACATTTGTCTTTGTGTACTTTAATATTTTTTTCCTTGTTATGGTTTACCCTTAACCTGTCAAGTTGACCTTCTAATTTTCATATATAGAAATGTTTTTAACAAGTATATTACGTGTGATCAGATTGTTCCAAATATATTGCTCAAATATATCACATAATTCTGATAAATTTCGTCTTCTCATTGCATTATCGAAATTTATCAAAGGGACTATTTTACCAATTTAAGTATTAGATTTTATTGTAAATAAAAATAAGTTTATAGAAAAATTTCAGAAACTTACAATGTGATTAAGCTTGATAAGACTCGAACTAAATAAGATTCTATTATTTTATAATTAATGCAGAATATATAAAAATGGATTTAATTCTCAATTTTAAATGGTTTGTCGTAATGAATGATTTTTTAATAAAATTAAACCTTAAATAACTTATCAACATTTAATTAAAGCACTTAGTATAAGATATGTCTTACTGAAAACCGATCCTAAATTAAACTATTGGTTCATTTATCAGAAATTTGTATTTTGATATTGTGAAATCTCATATACTGAATTATAATACTGTAAATAGTTATATTTAACGTTTTAATACACAGAAATTCATGAGAAAATTGTTTATCTTTTAGAATAATTTCTCTTTATTCCATGACAATAAGCATCATTATGATTGTTTAATTTAAAATTCTTTAGACTCTGTAATTATTTTTCGCCTACTACCAGCAATGGATGTTTTAATTTTTTGTCACATTTAAAACTAGTGATTAACAAATTCTAAGATCTTTTTTGTTTCGATTATAATATTTCGGTTATTATAATAGTATTATAATAGTATGAAATGTATTTCTTATGATCTTACAAATTTATCTCATATTATTACATTTAGTTACATTATTTCGTCATCTATACTATTGTATTTTTATATAATTACACCCTTTTAATAGAGTAATTCCATTTCATGCATGTGTTAAGACTTCAAATAATGTATGATTATGTGATAATAAATTTGTGTGATAAAAAAATTATCTACATGCACTTTAGTTCCCATAACATTAGTATCATCAACTTCAAAATGAAAAGCAGAATGACCTTTAGATCTATGAACAAATCATATATATATATATATATATATATATATATATATATCATTGATCAATTTCATAAAATCAAATTCTAATGTTAAGTTCTGACTCATAATCGAAATTTTTTAGATACATTGATGAACATTTTTGTGGTAATTTGATATTGATGTTTTGCACCTCTGAATTATTTCACTGACCTAAGTGATAATAACTGTATTACAGTTTGTGAGCCTCAACCAATGGGAAGAGAAAAGATTTTACTTAGTTGACCAATCCAAAGTACGGGTATTAAAGCACCTTCAAATGTTAGTACAAAACGTAATCGAATCCTTATTAGGAGAGTTAATTTGTGGTTATTACATAAGTTTCAGGTTATCTGATAATGAAATGAATCTAGAAAATGGGATTTTTAACAGTTCACAAATAAGTATCAATGACAACCTTGAATACAAACCAACCTTACAAAATAATCTTGAGCTGAAAGTTACTTCTCAGTCTCAAATGACATTACATACGACGTCACCCTATACCAATGTAAATGAAAACATAACAGATATGCCAATAAACTTTAGTTTAAATCAGATTGAGTGTATTTGTCAAGTACTCTATAATAACCAGGAAACTGATCGATTGAAAACATTTCTGTCGAAAATATCAACGACTACAATGTATCATAACAATGAAGTAATTATGAAATGCAGAGCATTAGTTTTATTCGTCAATAAAGAATTTACTGAATTATTCAAAATTTTAAATAATTTTCCATTTAGTGTTTATAATCATAACGAAATGCAAAATTTATGGTATCAAGCTCAATATGCACAGATAGAGATATCACGTGGTCATCAGTTGAATGCTGTAGCCAAGTATCGTATACGCAAGAAATTCCCACCGCCGAACACAATATGGGATGGAGATGAAGTGACGTATTATTTTAAAGATAAATCAAGAAATTATTTAGCTGAACAGTTTGTGCACAATCCATATCCTTCTATTGTGGAAAAACATTTCATGGCTAAGAATAGTGGTCTTACCATAACACAAGTATCGAATTGGTTTAAGAATAGAAGGCAACGTGATAAAACTCTTAATAACTTTAAAAGTAGATGGTATGTACAGTTTTTTCTTTAAATTTCAGCTTAACGGATAAATTTGTTCGTATTACCCTATGATATTGTTTCTAAGAGGAAAATTGGACTTTTTGGTAGGCGCATTATCCCAGTTTTTGTCTCCCCAAATAAGTTATCGCTTTTATCTATATTAAACCTGATTCCATAGTATCAGGACTCACTTAATTGATGAGGAGATCAATTACAGAATACTGTTTAATATTTGTGGACTTCAGTAGGTTTGTGATATTTTGATTATCCTTTAGACAGTAACTATCAGTCGTCAGTTAGTTAACTCCATATGCCAATAAAATAACAACCCATTAGTTCTAGCTCTTCTGATTTAAGAGTGATACGATTTGTAAAATTGTGGGAACTGTATTTTAAAGATTGGAGTTAAATGTGCTCAGTATAGATGATTTTCAAATGAATACAAAACACCATCAGTGACTTTTGGTTCCCAAGGCTAAGTGAATCTCCAACTCAAGTGATAGTCTTAAAAGGAAGGAAGATTTGTATCAAAGTGCCTATGAATAATATTGCCTGCAGGTTAAATCCATTCTTTTTTAACATTAATGATGTGCTCAGTTCTTTGGTAGTTTAAAGTGAAATTCATAAGTAGATTTAATGCATCATAGTAATGATGTACATAATTTCATTTTAGATTAAATGATACAACCGCTGCATTAGTGTATTAATGATATTAAACTGAAAAAATTCTTTAGAGATTTTACTGAAGCTAGATGGTGTTTTATTGAATCTACAAAATTCACTTATTACATTTATCACCTGCTTATTTTAGCTAAGTATTGGGAATGTTAGGCTACTACTGTTAACTTATTTGTACAAGTTAAATTGTGATTATGCAGTTGTGGTAATAATAAACAGATAAATAAATAAATTACTTTACAGATCAGAAAACGTCATAATCTTATCGCTGATTTAAAGCTGAAAAATGTTTCTCAGTGTATATAGACTCAACTACTCACCAATGACAAAACAATCAAATTTTTGTATTCACTCATGGAATGATCTGAAGGTACTCCAAGTTGACTTAGGTATGTACGTGATACAATCTGACCATAACTTGTTAAGGAATTTGAAAACAACATAGCAAATAGTCTTCAGCATCCCAACATGAATGTCATTCTTCGGCATCAAATTGTTCTTTTAAATCACTACTGAACAGTTTCACAACTTATTTGGTATTCAAGTAATACTTTACAACCGTAAACTCTATTTTAGATGATAAGTCTCATTTATTTTTAGTAATTATATAACTCATTAATCAGGTACAAGTTCGTGTACTTGGCTTTGAACCACACTATTTGTATGATAGCTAAGGACACTACTTGATTATCTACAGTAGTCAGGAGATAGATATTCAAATCCTTAGTTCGGTAATCGAAAATTAAGCGTTTTAACTTCTAGACCACTTATACCCTACTTACTTTCTATTTTCTACCAATGTTATAATGCCATTCTAACAAAACATTGATGAAACACTTTAAAAGTTTGGTAATTTTCATATGATTTTACTAACTTTTAAAACTAATAGACAAAAGATAATTTGTTCACAATGAAGAATTACTCTTAAAATGTCTACTTAAGAATATAAATAAACAATCCTATATAGGCAAATATTAAGATAAACAATCAAATTAAAAAAAAGTTTTCAGTCTAAACAGGACTAAAATATTTAAATTATTTAGAATAGTTGATGGATAAATAAATAAATTAAAAGATTAGATTGTTTTATATACAGTGAACAAACTGACATTTTCAAGGTTGTTGTTGTTTTATTTTTAGTGTTTACATTTTAATTTGTGATTGCCAATATAAAAAAACGTTTATTCATAATTGAAAGGATAATTATGATTTGACGATATTTATTATTTTAAAAGAAATCTGATTATTTTGATTGTAAAAGAAGCATTTTATTTTTCATGGTGAAACATACGTATAATTCCTATATAGAATTTTTAATTACACTGAAATTGTCGATGAGAAAACACTTTTAAAAAATTATCGAAACAGAATTAGGACTCAGTATTTTTCCTGGAACATTGGTACTATTTACAGATTGGATATTAATCATCAAACGGATTTAAGTGTAAAATATATGTTCGGCTTATGATGTCGAATGCATAACATAAGGCCATACAAAGTTAGATCTTCCGGACTTGACAAAGCGACGTAAGTGGTATCCAACCGTTTAGAAAGCTTGACTTAGTTCTCTAGGACCGATCTAAATATACTGTAGTGTCGGTTACCATATTAAGTCCATATAACTTATTCTAGCTTGTGAACAAGCCAATTTATCCATTTTTCTTGAGTCACGTTTTGACCTTCTTAATTATTCACTTATCAACCTTGACTGATTTTATATGAGCGTATGTGTGTGCACTTCTTATCCTATTCATCACATGTCTGCAACCTACTTTTATCTGGTTATAAATATTGGTTAACTCTTGATTAAATCGAGTTGGCTCATACGCCTTCTCCATTGAGCATCCTTTCATAAAAAAGTAACAAAGGGGAGAGAAACAATTTTACATCGAATAGAAAGAATAAGAAATTGTTGCGTTATCCTAGGCCATAGAATGATTTAAGGATTATCAAGGTAAATTCAAGGTTACGACAAACTGTTTTTGTACACATAAAGAGGGTTCAAATTTACGATTAGCCAAGGCTTCAACAAACTTGAGAATTCGTCCTTGACAATTTTTATAGAACGTTCTAAAAGCTGTATTAATGTCAATTTTGTGCTCCGTTTCAATTATATTTTTCGCTATCGATGCCCTGACAAGTATATGTGTGACCAGATTGTTCGGAATGTTTAGCGCAAATACATCACATTTTTCAGATCAACTCCGTCTTCTCATTGCCCTACCAAAATTTAAATCACTTTTATCAGTTTTGCCTCTTCTGAAAGTCCGTACCACAAAATATTTGCCACTATATCTAAAACTCTCGTATTCGCATCACTAACATATTTTCTGCATGAATTTAGGTCATTATTTTAGTTTCATATGATTATTGTTGACTTTAAGTACATCATATTCTCCACATATTTTCTATTACTGAATTTACTACCGGCTTGAATTTGTTTCAATACTTATTAAAAACGGAATTCTCAGTATGATTCCTTGTCAGTTGATTCAACAAATAGTTTGAATGATATTCATCACGAAATGATTTTGTTACTGATAAATTTTTACAGGCCAACATTATTTCAGTAATTGGCCAGATCCTAACATTTATAATTTAATAAAGAGTTCAATACTTTACGAACTCTTACTTTTCTTCTTATATTAACTGGCATTTTTCACATTATTTGTTTAAGTATAACCCAGAATGGATTGAGTTACCTTCAACCAACTGATTTCGAGGTGTCAACAGAGTTCCATGAACACTTTGAACAAAATACTGATACAGCACTGTATGATGCAAAATTTCTCGAGACAGCTTGTTCCGATTTCAGCAAATCTTATTTCGATTATGAACGAGAACCTCAAGATCATGATTTCAGCTTTCATCGCCATCAATCTGGAAATTATTATTCTTCATTTTCTCACCTAAATTCTTCAGATGAAGATTTTTCTGTTGCGAGTATAAAATACAATTAGCTTGACTCAGATTTATCTAAATAAAAGAGTTACATAAAAATTTTAGTCGATGATCCCATGTATACGGGGAATTTCCAAACAATGAAACTTGTTTACATCAAAAAAATGTAATAATAATTAATTGTTCATAAAAAGTGGCTTTTCTTTTCATATTGGCATATGGTATTATAGAGGCTTATAGAAATTACTAAAGTTGCAATTCTGAGTATCAGAGGAACATTATTTAATGATTTGTTGAGAAATGAGAAGTACTAGACAAAAAACAACTGTTCAGTGTCATCTGGTTTTTAGTGGTCATCTGACTTGTAGTGTCAAACTGTAAATTCAGCAATTGAATTTAACTACTAATAAATAGCAAGTAGACAATTTGTTTTGAACAAAAACATTTCTTCAGCGAAGCTACTCGTGCATAAATTTACAAGCAAAATGATAAGCTCTGTCGCATAACAACTCAAGCGGCCGGAATATCTAACTTGGTGTATTAAGAATTTTATTACATACAGCTTAAATACACACTTTATTGCTTCAACCGTATGATGTTGCTGTCACTTGAATACCCAGTTGTGATTAAGAAATGTTTTGTGTGTGAGGTAATCAATCAGAAAAAATAGCTCGTAGGACAAAGTCCACATTGTTTTCAGTACTTCACTAAACATTATGTACATTTTGGATTTGGAGGATCACACACATTTGCCTATTCTTTTCCATAAAAATAACAAAGAATAAGTACGTTTATTCAGATGAAATAGCTTCAAACACACAAAATATTCAGTGGATATAAAAGAAATTTCCAGTACATCAAGGTTTGGTATGAAAATGAAAAAGATGTGAGGATTCCTGTCTCGCACGGCTTATTTTTCTTATTTCCGTACTGTGCGTTATTAACCGTAATGCTATTATTAACTTAAGGAACAGGAAAAAGGTATTTTTGACAGGACAACACTAATTCATTTGGTCTACCAAATGTTTTTGCATAACAAATATGTTTGCCATCAGAATGAGATTAGTGGGGATTATAGTGAGTTGATATCAGTTAGACCACCATTGAAAACCTGGAAGCACTGGACGACCGTTTCGCTCTAGTATGAGACTCCTCAGCAGTGGGCATTTACGATCCCGCACGCGAGAAGCCGTGACTACTGCAGTCCAATCCGTGTCGGATAGAGACAGGTATAGCAACTCACGTTCAATTGAGTTTGCTCTCACCTAATTCGGTTAAGCCCTTTTATTAACTTATTAAGCGGACAAAGTCACCTGCACTATAATAACTTATTGTATCCTTATTACTGTTGCGAATGTATGAACATGTATGCTTGGCAAGCCTTACGGCCTACGCATTTATTCACGCTACTAGCTTTACTATTAACCGCTTAATTGACTCGATGATTCATTCATTTCACTATATATATATATATATATATATATATATATATATATATATATATATATATATATATATATATATATATATATATATATGTCCATGTTATTCATATTCATTACTCGGTCGTTCATTCACTCACTCGATCGCTCGCTTGCTCTTACCCTTGCTCTCTCTCGTCCGCTCGCTTGCCTGCCTGCCTGCCTGCCTTTCGGCACAACTATTTCATGCTTGCTTAACGCACCTGTAATTTTGGATATCTGTGTGTGGTCATATAATAAACGTAATTAACACTTCGTTTTCGCCTTCTGATTAATATACCGTTGCAGCGTTATTTAGAGACGGTTACCGAGACGAACTGTATACGGAGTTTAAGGAATATATCCAACACCGACCACCACACAGGTATCTACCTCAGACAATGGACAAATGGTTACCCAAGCACTCATGGATCGAGTGAAGTTAGACATTAACACCATTAGGTATCGGCTCAGTGGTCTAGAGACGAATCGTTCGCGCACAAAACCTAAGGTCCAGGGTTTGGAACCCTCATGCGGGTTTATGGGTTAGCACTCCTGAGGAGTTCTATACTAGAACGAAAAGGCCACCCGGTGCCCCTAGGTTTTCAATGGTGATCTAGCTTAGATAGACTCATGAATCCAACTGTTAAAATATGATTCTGTTAATTGGGAAACCGACTGTCTGATTTAAGGAAATATAAAGATAGGTTCCATTGGAGTCTTCATGGCTCCTGCTAACGTGTTAATACACAAAATTTAGAAAAAAAGATAAAATGTTAGATCAAAGAACGACATTTCTGGATTCTAGTGTTCAGATATAGAAAACGGGAAGAATAATTGGAAACTATCAGATTCATATAATTCTGTGTCGGAATAATGTAAGCATTGGACGGATTTGATATGTGTACCATAAGTTACTATTTGAAAACTTTACTAAATTCTGTCTAGCTGTCGTAAAGATTTTATCATGATCTTATTAAATCCTGTAAACGTTCTATGCTACGTTTTGTTAGTAAGTAGAAAACACATCTTATAATAATTTTTCATCGTAAGTATCATTTCAATCAATGAGTAACCTTATGAATAGCTAGAGATGGAATAAATACGGTTATGGTACACCCTTGAACCTGAATACTTGTAGCTTGATGTTTATATTTCAGTGTAATATTAGGTAAGAAAAATCCTTTAAAAGATGGGAATTTTAGTTTCATTAGATATTTCTGAATTGCATCGAATACTGAATAAATTCTGCGACATATAAGGACCTTGAGTAATATGGGTAAATCACGGAGTTTATATAGTAGGATATTTCAGCTAACTTACATGCAATACACTGAAGTACATCCCATTCTCTATAAAAAGATTATGGTTTCCAAAATTAGGCAGAATCTATTCATTTCTGTTAATTACTATTTAAATAATATTCTCATAAAAATAAACTATCAATCGTTATTTAAATTTCTTCAAAATACTGGTAGTCAGAATATTTCGATATTGTCAGGTACACGATATGTAATTTTTGATAGATATATATTAAAGGTTATATTACCCATTTTCAAGAAAAAATCGTTGTTTTGATTGGACTCTACGATACTAAACATAATTTAGAGAAAAATCCAATCTATTATCGTGAATCTGAATATATCAGTGTATTGGGAAGGTAACATTAGTCTGTGTTGTGAAAACAAACATATGCATTCCATAATAATTCGTACATGCTTACAAATACGCAAATATACAGTCATTAGTGTATAGACTCATTTATTTTCTAAGTTATGTCTATCTGAACAAGAGAAAAGAAAACAACAGTATGTTCTTGTTTTTCGAATGCTCAAATCGGAAATCCGGACAATTCGTTTTAACTATTGGACATTACTAAATATATAACGAGTGAGAAAAACACATCATTAAAATAACATAACACACTTATCTCTTACTCTAGTTGACACGCAACACAACAAGCATAAAATAGAAATTCCGCTACTCACTTTACAAGTAGTCATAATAATAATAATGAGTAATAATAATAATAATAATGATAGTAGTCTATAAATATTTAGTTAAGGTCAGGATAACTTTCCAATACATCACTTTACTAACTCATCATTTGATTGTGTAGAAAATCTAAGTGAGAAATTTGAATACTCTTAATTATCATTTGTTTTTTCATCGTTTGTTTTTATTTGTTTGTTTATTCTAACTCCATTCTTAATATTATCAAAATTTTCCGGTACAGTAAATGCCAATTAACCTTAAAGTGGACTACATTAAAATTATTTTTAGTTCTCGAATCTTTTATTTTCTGTTAACTTAGAAAATATAAAGGGAATGGCAGTATATTGTTGAACGACACATTCTTTCTGAGTTTATTTTTTTACACATATAGACAACCAAACACATTTATTCGTTTATGTTTGTCAAGATATGTTGATATACGTTAGTGATATTTTTTGTGGGATGCATTTATTAGTTCTATCCATTATGCTTTGTTATAACATTACTAAACAAGTGAAACTATTTACAATAAATGTAACTGAAAACAATCAGACAGTAATTCATTTTTTTTAAAAAAATTTCCAACTTACTTAAATGAACTAGGCTGAAGGTAGACATTATTCAAGGGTAGAACTTATATAGCCATATACTAGATGAGTAGTAGAGGAATAACACGTCTAGAGAAATTTATTAACTTGACTCCAATGACTATAAATACAAAAACTGCTTTTTTCCAGCATTTTTCGATTTTTACATTTTCCAATGGTTAAGATCATGAGTCATTTGAAGCTAGACCACTATGGGAAACCTGGAAGCACTGGACGGCCGTTTAGTCCTATTGTGGGACTCCTCAACAGTGCTCATCCATGACCTCGCCCCCTACGAGATTCGAACCCAGGACCTACTAGGTTTCGCACGCGAGCACTTAACCACTAGACCACTGAGCCGGCATCCAACGGTGTTTATGTCTAACTTCAACTAATCCACGAAATTGAGCGACACATCCACCATTGTCTTCAGTGAGTTACTATCTCACAACAGACCTGCTTGAACTCCACTGGTCGCTGCTTCTCACTAGAACTTTTGAATTTTGCTCTGAACATGCTATTCAGTTTTTACATTTGTAAACTTGAAGAATTGCAATCGAAACAAATGTCCCTTAAAACCTAACCAATGAAACGTTCACTGTGGCTTGGACGAAATTGCAAATAATCAGTTAACTAAATAAATAATTTTACAGTAGAATTACTCACTCAATTTTTTTTCATAAATTCTATGGTGAAAGCACTTTTAAATTATTTCATATGGTTCAGTCGGACAAAAAATACTCAGAAGTAACTGAATCAAGAGGATATGTGGTGATGTAGTTTTGTGATTTATCATAAAGCTTATTCACCTTTAATTCGTTTCCAAACAAACATATGTAATAATAGCCTGTGATAAAACTATTTTTAATCTTTAGTAAGGTAGCAGGTATTTAAACTTTAGACTGGATTTTCTGACATTGTTGCTATCAGAACATTAAGTTTGTTGGAGAGATCCAGAGCATTCCTCGAAATAAACTCAAAGGGGAAACACTTTGTCCAATCAGCATTTAGTAGAAT